CCATTAATGGGCTAGAGTTGTTGGTTGTTAAGCTCTCTCCCAACCCTTAAGGCCGTGTATATACCATTCAGTAGATGAATTTTGGAAGCAATGAATCTGAGTCCATGCCATAAATCAAATGCTCATTAGAAGAAATGTAGCATACTAAAATGAATAATAATTTAGTCTGCTTAAGACCTCAGACTTTAGTCTACTTGCCTTGTAGAAATGCAAATTAATTTCAATAACAGAAAGTCTGTGGCCAATGACCTAATTCCGTTCCTAAGAGTCGATTAGATCCACGGGATCCTCAACTGGATCCACCCATACCTTTTCGCCCTGCACATGGGGGAAAGATTAAATACCCAAGAAATGAAAGCATCAGTATCCTTTGGCCTTGAGGCCTGCTTTGGGCAAATTTGGGATCCTAACTAAATATTCTTTGCACTAAAAGTTTCCTAGGAAAATAAAATTTTCCAAATACAATATACTGTGGGCATTACAATGACATCAGAAGATGCTTGGAGGTGGGAGGGGAATGTGCCTTTCAGAGATGCAAATGATGTGGGGGAAGGACGAGGATGCTGGAGATTCTCCCAGCAGCTCTGCATTGGGTTGAGATTCTCCATCTGGATCTAGAGAGGAGCAGGGAGTGGGCTGCTGCTCTGCCTGGGGTGGGGAGGAATGATTTAATCTTGCTGCTGAGACGAAAGACAAGAGAGACACAATGAAACTGTACCTCAGGGTACCTAGAGCAAGAAGGCAGAAGGAAAACCACCAGTGCAGAAAGTGGAATTCAGAAAAACATTTGTATCACTGAAAATCATTTAATGACACCCTGTCCACCATGCCCTGTGACCCCAACAATCTTGTTCAGAAGCAACACATTTTGAGAAATGCTTGGTATAATTGGGTTTCTTACAGAAACTGGGGAGGGGGCCAAATTTCATACATCAGCAGCTGTGGGGTCAAATCAATCAGCCCTGTTGATGAGAAAAGGGACGTTGGAAATGTGTTTCTATGTATCCTGCTCACAGCAGAACTCAGAGCAGGGGGTGCTGGAGCCAGCTTATATTCATCCATAAGAGATGACTTAAAGTTTCAGGAATATTGCATGTTTATTGCTAAATAATCATTATTAGAATCCAAGTGTATACACACATAATTAAATAAAGCTTATTAAAAACAGAAGCAATAAATACTCAAAATTCATCACTTTCTAATCATTTTACTTTGTACCTGTATCACCAAAGCTGTGCTTTTGAACATCCTTTCCCAGCCCATGTCTAGGTTCACCATAATATAGCTCAAAATTAGCTACACGGGGAATAGCTTCACCTTGGAAATTGGCAAATGCTATAGATTAGGGCTGAATTTATTATTGTGTTCACTAACAGACTTGAGAAAATGATGGGTAAAAATGTTAAAAATGCTGACTAAACTTAAAAGTGTTTAAGTCTTAAAAAGTGTCCTCTGTGGCCGTTACATTGGGAGTGGCACAAAAAAAAAACTAAAATTCTTTTTTTGTTTTCAACAACTACTATCCAATTCACAGTTTGGACCAGCCAGATGGAAATCCTACATCAGAATAGCTGTACCTACCGAATAGAAGCTAGCATTCATCCTTGAAGCCAATCCTTCCTGTCTCTTTAAAAAGATTTCAGTAGTGTTTTTAGTCAGGAAATTTAAGAACATTTACCTGTTGATCTTGGGGAGTCTCTGAATGAAGGTCCAAAGCCAATAACAGATGCTTTGAGCTAAGAAGTAAGTGTTCTGTTTGAGAACGAAGGCAGCTATCTTCACAGCAGAGCATGGCTCTTCACAGAAGATATGATGTTAAGAGGCTTTTGCTTCCTTTGTCAGAGATGACAGGGGGCAGTAAGGCCATAAAATGTGATGTTCTCACAGTGGCAAGCATGCCCCAGCAATGTGGCTGCTGGCCTSAGGTCAAGAGAGAGATGACCAGATGGGCCCTGGGAGGGGGCCTGACCTATGAACTCCAGGGGACATGACCGCCAGTTTAACCCTTCCTTTYCGGCCTGCAATTCACTCAAATTATCCTCAAGACTCAGAAGCAGTTCGAGCTCACTACTRTTAACTGTTCTTGGGTCTTGAAGGGGGGGGGGGAAGCTTGTGTCAGTTCTTGAACCAGAGAGAACTCCCATATGTGCAAGAGCACAGAGGTGATTGACAGAATAGCTTGGAATACCTCCAGCCCAGAAGGGACAAACGTCCACCAGCACAGACCTGAGATGCAGTCAGCACAATGAGGCCTCCTGAGAATCTCCAGAAAAGCCAGCCAAAGGCTCCAAATTGTATTATTTCATTATAATAATATCATCAACACCTCACTATTCTATTTTGACATGATAAATTATATTTTGTTATTTTATAAAACTGATGTTATGCTGTATTATTTTATGGTTTTATATTGTTCGTATACTAGTACCATGTTATAACAATAGTTCTTACTATGCTTGTAGGGTCCAGGTGTCTGTTTGGTCTTCTCTCCAAGAACACCTTCCCCTTCAAATAGAAGACCATAAACTGCTAGAATTGAGTCTGTAAGAAATGTTTACAGTGAAGGTAAGTGGACTCTGATGAAGGCCTTGGAAGCATTTTCTTAGTAATAAAATACAAAATCTTTAAGGTCAGACCAAGTAAGATCTTATTTAGCTTGGTCAGGAATTCTTTTTAATAACTCCTACCTCCTAACTGTGTCCCAGTTAGCTAAAATTGCCAAATTAGTGGCCATTTGGTAAATGGAGTGAGACTGTCCAATTTCCTTGCTGGTTTCTCCACAATTAAAGTCCTTTCATTAATGGTAAAATGAGGGTGTCAGAATCCAGGGAATTGTCCAAATAAAACCAGGGAGAGCTAATAGGTTGYCAACTTTATTTTGCCAGCTAAGAATATTTTTTAATTACCAAATCCTATCAGCATTTAACATTTAATGAATCAAAAAATTAGTTTACCACAAAACAATAGCAAGCAGATATGTTTCAAAAAAAAAAGGATGATCCTTTAAGCAGAATCATTTTAGCTTTATGAAGACTTCAAATGGTTATCTTTCTCATGTCATCATTGATGGGTGAGAACATCATTCAGTCTGGCACCTTGTTTGGAGTTATTCTTCTAGAACATTAAACTTACGACTTGAGAAGCTGTCCATGATCTCTTGGCCTGAAATATTTCTCATACGTTTTCCTAAATATAAGGGAAGCAGACTCACAAAAAGAGTTGTGGTGGTTTGGGAATGTGGCTCAAGTGGTAGCGTGCTCACCTGGCATGCGTGAGGCACTGGGTTCGATCCTCAACACCCCATAAAAATAAAATAAAGATATTGTGTCCACCTAAAAAAAAAAACTAAGAACTAGATATTTAAGAAAAAAAAAAGAGTTGTGGCTTTTTTACCCAGAAAAAAATCCTACAGAGTCAYGAAAATGACCTGCTGCTGGCTTTGTGCACGACCTGTACCACCAGCCAACCAACCAAAAAACTCTCATCCTGACCTGAAGTGTCTCTGAGCATCAGGAGCATTGAAAACTGTCCTTTTTAGGAGACAGGAAAAGTGCAAAATCAGGTCCATTCCATGGATTGAATTTCCATTCTTCCTGGCTCCAAAAATGCTGTGTCTGTTGGTAATTTTCATTCTTGGGTCACAGCCCCCAGGGGAGCAAGAAGAAGGCCAAAGAGAAGAGAGAAGTTTTCAGTCTGTTTCTTCAGAGCCTGGACTTGCTTCTTGGCCCTATAAATAGAAGAGCTGCCCAGCCTTAGCCCTCCAGATACGATTCCCAGATGCCAGCAATGGTACAGGGACCTGAGTGAGTGACACCTGCCCTGGGCCAGCCCCAGAGACACAACCCTAAAGCTGGCACACTGTGAGTGAAGAAGGTCCCCTGTGTCAGAAAATGCAACAATGACAGAAGACTTTACCTCATGAGATGACTTAGTAAAAGCTTTTTTTTTTTCCTACTAAAAGAAAAATGACCTTAAAATAACTTGGARTAACCAACCTTCCCCACACCTACCTGTTTTTATTTTCCAGCATTTGGAAGAACTGGGAGAAGCAATGGAATAAAGGTTGAATTCATTACCAACTGTTTCAGAAGCTCTTTCTGCTGACCTGAAATCATTTCCATACATTTTCCTAATATATGAGAGTTAATTGCCAATTTGCATTTGGGTTTCAGTATTCAGGTCTCAAGATGGAAACACAAACCTTAATTTCAAGAAAAACAAATGGAGGAGAACTTCTGAAACTCATTTCCTAATGCCCAAAAGACTTGTAGAGAACAAGCAGAATATTCTTTCTTCTTCCAACATGTCTTACAGAAGGAGCTGCCCCTCGGGTTTGGGTTGGTTTCTGGGATTGTGGTTACATCTGAAGATCTATTGTCCTTCCAGTCTCTTCAAATCATTGTTAATTCTTAAAAGGGTCACAGGATTTAAAATTTTGCCTGCTTTGCCCTCTTGTAGCCAAACTTGACATCAGCACCTTCTATATAAGCAGGAAACTCAATTAACACCCTGAATTTTCCTTATGGTTGCCCATTTTGAGAGGACTATTCTACGTCCTTTGATTCTGGCCTGCTTGTGTTATTCATTTAAGTGGCTCAGGAATATCATCTGCTTCTACTCAAAGGAATGACGAAAGAATTCTGGGAAATGGCTTCAAGAGCCACCCTAGTAAGAACAGTCAGGGAAAGCTCAGTGTCACAGACACTAATTCAGACGCAGGGTTTAGTAACGCRTGTTCATCTATGACCCTAAAATCTGCTCGCCTTACAGCTTCCCCATCTGGTGTAATTTGCTTTCTCCACTCGTAAAAATGCATGTGACAGCAGGCATTCTGTGCCACGTTGTAACAATGAGGCCTTGTCCCTCGTGTGCTGCCTGGAGAGAGGCTTGCTTCTCAGCCTGTGTTTACCAAGCTCTCCATCTTTCCCTGCGTCTTGCAGTGGGGGTCGGCCCATGCCCCAGGAGGCCCCAGCCCAACACAAGTTCATYGAAAGCCATACCTTGTACCCAGGCTTCCGCCCCCTTTTCTTGGGCATCTTCATGGCTGGTAAGGAGCCAGCGGAAGCAGAATAAAGGTTGTGGACGGCCATCTTCACAGGTGTGGAGTGGAGTGGGGGTCGGCCTCGCTTTCTCCCCGGGATCCTCTGTGACTGCATCTCTGCTGGTGCCAGTCTTACAGAATGAGGTGACAAACCGCTCACAGGCAGAAGAGGTGCTAAGAATTAGCCCAGACATGAAGCAAAACAAAAGCAGAAGTGCTTGGTTTGCAAGGCAAACAGATACAGTTTGGTGACTTGGGGTGATACTTATTGGAGGGGACAACCAACGAGGTGAAGGTCAGGCACCCCAGGAGGGTTCACAGTGCCCCTGGGATCAGGGAGGTGACTGGCCCCCTGGTATAATCTCAAGGACAGCAACTCTCCAGGGGCCTATAAGGAGGCAGGGAAGACACTGGCAACCAATGAAACTGGTGATGTCATCAATGACAAGATGACTTGTGTCTCAGTTTCTCAGTTCAGCTTTGGACCATTATAATAGTAGTATGAAATAAATGCGGCCATTATCTCATATTTACTCCTACTCCTTCGATTGGGTTATAAAATGTCATGAWCTGTTTTTTCCCTCAAAAAAAAAATTTAACAGTACAATTGTATTAAAGTGCATGATTCCCTCAATCAAAACATGGACAGAGATTTGCATACAGAGATGTTCATTTTTATGTAATTTAGAATTGCAAAAATGAAATGAATACAACTCAAATAACGAGCAACAGGGGAATAGTTAACATATCTACAGAATAAAACAATCAACTTGTTAAGAGCCTTTAGCATCACTCTTTGCATAACATGATGCTGAGAGAAAGAAGTGTCACACAAATTATGCAGATTGTTATGGCAAAAAGTGGAAGACATGCCAAAACGCCACCATGGGAAAGATATTGGGACTGTGGGTAAGTGTCACCTGTGTAATGCTTTGTGCAGATCCCCRTGCTCTAATAATCCTAGCATAGCATTAAAAATACGAATCACAAGTTTCTCAGGTAGAATTACCTAAACCCAGAAGCAAGGAGCAGCTGATGGACCCTGGGATCAGATTTGCTAGAACGTTTAGGAATGTACCAAGTGGGCAGAACATCAGACTTTACCTCGGGCTGATGTTTAGTCATAAAATTCATCTCTAAGGATTAGTGGAAGTATCCAAGGCTGCAGAAGAAGTTGGGGAAGATGATGGGAGCAGTCCTTACATCCTGACCAGGGCAGCAATGGGGAACTAGACTGCTTTACCCAGGAAGCAAAATATGAAATAGAGGAAATTCTTAAAAACCTGACAGGGGAAATTCCAGGCATCATTTACAAAGGTCAGGTCACTTTGTTAATTCTCTGGAGATTAACAGTATTCTATCAATAATCTTGATTGTTCTTAGAAATACCATATTTATATTTAATACATAGAATTTTAAACTATTAATATTTTATGGAATGCACAGTTGAGAATTTTTGATAGAGGAACAAGCTGTTTAGGATGTCAATTTTTCCTGTTTGGTAAACTGAAGAAAAATACCCTATCTCATTGATTCTAAAATACATATTTTATACACACATTTAACATCTCTGAAATCAAGGTACACCCTAGTACTTTAAGTATGTCAGAATTCCATCAGAAGAATTTTTTTCTTTCCTGGTAGTACACAAAATAGTGACATGTGATATAATTAAAAGCATCTTAATTATGCTCAGTGAACATAAAGTTACTAATATGTAAGAAAACCAAATTATTCTGGTTCTAGATTTAGTGTCTGGATTCCACAATGCCAATAAATGCCCCTCAAATTCCCTTTTTTATTTTTTCTCTTTGGTAAAGGGGCTACCAAAGATACTGAAAACCAACAAAATGTATTTAATAAGATTTCTGTTATGTGAAACTTGGTCTGAGTTCCATTTTGACCTCTCATCATCAAGTTTCTGTTTCATTATTAGTTAATCTGTGCAGACTTAGGAAACAGGAAGTGTTCCTAGTGGGGGAAGTGCTTCCTTACCTTTTACTTTGCCTTCAGTGAGGAGGTAGCAACTATCCATTAATATCAGGATCAAAAGTCAACAAGAGAAAACCCACCATGGAGAAGATGTGAGGTTCTCCTCTCTTTCGAGAAGAGTCCCCTCAAAGGGTGAGCCTGTTCTGCTCTGCTGAAATCCTTCCTCAAAAAAAACTCTTCTTGACAGGTTTGAAAGGTAAAGGAAGGGTAACAAGTCAAAGAGCACAGTATCCTAAGAATGTTTTCTTACAAAAACCAATTGTTTTTGTAAGCATCACTAACAACAAAAAATTGAATTTAAATGACAATAAAACGTCAAATACAAATGAATCTAATCAAAATCTTTATCATTAAAACTGAAGCTTAATGTTCCAAAAAATTTTCAAAGTGTCAGAAATTTTTCCTAAAAATAAAAATTAAAATAATCTTTTCACTGGATTTTTCTGAGGTTCCACTTCCCTTGCCCTATGAGGAGGAAGATTCAGGGCTTGTGCCGCTTTCCACTTCCTGCCTTCCACAGGAGGACATGGATCTAAGAGAATGTGATGGCCTTTCTGGACCTTTTAAATCTGATCAACAAATTTCATGTTAATGGAACAACTAGGAACCAAGATTGGTGGAATACTGGATGCCACCTCTCAGGCTCCTCAATTCATCACACCTGGATGATGACGTATTTCATCTATGAAGCAGAAATATGTTCCCCAATTCCTTGTCATAAATAAAAATAATTTTAAGTAATGAGATTGCTTAAGTGAGCTAATAAGTGAATTTATTTGGGGGATTCTCTAAATATCTCCTTGGGATCATTTTATAGAGCTTGGAGAAAGGACTTCTAATGTGGTCCTTTCAATAACAGGCCCAGCCACTTTGAAAAAGAYAGAGCCAAAAGTGGATTCCCCTCCTCAAATCTCCCTTTCCAAAACTGATGCATGAACAGAAGGAGTAAAACTAACTAAGATAAATACTGAGAATAAGGAAGAGTCCCACCTTATGAACATGGTGGAAACAAGATAGATTTTGTCTTATTTTGTTTTGGGGGGAGAACATAACTGTGGATGATAGACAATGAAGATTTATCATTTATCTAAAGAAAAGTTCAAACCTAATAAGAAAGGAAAATACTCAAATATATATTAAAGAGGCTGTCTTCCAGAATGAAGGGACCTTCTGTGTCTTAAGAAAATTTGAGAATGACGGCTGGGGTTGTGGCTCAGTGGTAGAGCGCTTGCCTAGCATGTGTGAGGCACTGGGCTYGATTCTCAGCACTGAATATAAATAAATAAAATAAAGGTCCATCACCAGCTTAAATTTAAAAAAAAAAAAAGAAAATTTAAGAATGAACAGCACAAGTTTTAGTGAAAATGATACAAAGGATTAAAAAAAAAATTGTGCATGTGTAGGGAGAACCAACAGGTCATTTATAGTGGAAGAAATAAACAGGCTCATTCCCTGCAGCATCATTAGCTAGAAGATAATGGAGTTGCCATGCTGGCTTTCCCTCACCCCCAGGAATTTATAGTTGCCCACTTCTCACCCCAGGGTCTTTGCCCGGAATGATCTTTGTTCCTCTCTGGTTTACTCTCCCTTTCTAGATCAGCTTGTGGTAGCTTGCCCTGACCTCTCATTAGGGTTTCCTAAACCTAGAGTTCCTCAGCTGTGACGCAGGCTGCATGTGCAGCACGTGCCATGTCACTTGGACAGGGAGGTAGATGGTCGAGCTTTTGTGACCTGCTGTGTCYCTCACATAGGAGTCATCTGTCTTCAGTCAGCACCCATGACACTGTGGCAGCTAACTTATTTGCAGAAAGAGCAAAAGTCCCAGACCCTTCTAAGTTCTCCATACAGATTTAATAAGAAGCAGAAGAACTCAGATGAAGAAAACAATATTTTTTTAAAAAAATCTACTTATGTTCTTCAATAAGACTTGAAAGAAAAAAAAATGATCATTCTATTATCGGACAGATGAATATTTTTTAAATAGAATTTCAGCCTACTCAGGTGTGGTGCTACATACCTGTAATCCCAATGACTGGGGAGGCTGAGGTAGGAGGATGGCAAGTTCAAGACCGGCCTCAGCAACTCCTGTTTCAAAATAAAGAATAGAAAGGGCGAGGGATATAGATCAGTGGTAGAGCATCGCTAGGTTCAATCCCTAGCACCAACTCTCACACACACACACACACACACACACACACACACACACACTTCACCTAAACTATGACATTAAAATCCAAATGATTTTAGAAAAGGACTGGTAAAAGAAAGGCCAGTGAAGGAGATTCAACCTGATGTTTACTAAAATGTATTATAAAACCACTACATGGGGCTGGGATTGTGACTCAGCAGTAGAGTGCTCACCTAGCACGTGCAAGGCCCTGGGTTCAATCCTCAGCTCACATAAAAATAAATAAAATAAAGGCATTGTGTCCAACCATAACTTAAAAATAAATATCTTTTTCTAAAAAAAAACCCACTGCTTTGCAGTACAGTACAGGAGTAGCAATTGGACCAAGTAGGTAGTTCAGCAATTACACACTTTAAATTTCCATTTCTGAAAACAAAAACAAAAAAAATGATTTCTAAAAAAAATTGGTAACATTCCATATCAATACAGGAAATTTCAATAAATAATTTATGGACAATTGGCATTTAGAAATAAATCAAACTTCAGCTATATTTCAGCAAAAAAATGCTAGTGATACTCACAACTTAAATATATACATATAAAAAGAAATAGTAACAAGTACTGAAGACAATGAGTCAACATTTTTGTATTTTTATGCTTTTAGGATAAAGATGAGCTAAGTGTGTAGAAAACCCAGGAAGCAGATCCAGGAAGACCCATAGAAATGACTACATGACATGCAATAGCAAAATCACGAAAAAAGATCGAAAATAAATGACAAGCTAAAGAAAATATTTGTTACATATGGCACCAACAAAAGGTTAATACAAAAACTCAAATAATTGAATTAAAGTGAACCCCTCAATAGAACAATGGGCAAAGGACACAGATAATTCAGCAAGAGAGAGAGAAAACAAATAGCCAATTATCACCAGAAAAGATTGGAAATTTAACTGGTAACTCCCCACAAAACATAAGTATTATTCCTCAGAGGTGTCATTTGTCTGTTATCAGATTGATAAATGTGGAAACCCCTGACAACACTCCACGTTGG